ATACTGCATTTCTTACAGCGCAGCGTGCCAACAACAACGTGATGATCGGTTGATAGCTCTACGCCTCTTTTAACACGAACGTCCATTACTGAGCGTCTTAGGTCAGACGATACGATTATCAAATCGATCACCGACTTCTGTGAACAAGTTTCCCGGTGTACTAAAGCACTCTTCGATGCTCGAAGAAAGTGTTCGTAATGGACAATCCGTTGTTTGCACAAAACCGCAACAACTTCATGCCGTGTTGTTGAGGTCGCTAGGACTATTTTTGGCAATCACGACGTTCCACTTTTCAGCGTCTACTCAGACGTGCGCATTTAAATCGCCCATCTGTATGAGGGACTCTGTATGCGGCACTTCGGACAGACCACACTGCAGTTCCTCAAGGAAGGTGTCATATTCTCCCTCCAAATTGGGCGTATAGACCTGTGCCAAGGTCATGGATTTATCCTGTTGCTGCTTCAGTCGGAGGATTACGACGCTTCCACTGACAGGCTTCCAATCGATATTTCTATCGGCAAAGTAGAGTTCTACCAGAATACCGACACCGGTCTGAGCGCGATTCGTGATATTCGACGCCTGGGTAGAATTGCTTCCATCTGCTGAGGTTTAGGAGTCCAGAGCCTTGGCGCTTCGTTGACGAGGGTCCAACAATATTGAGTTGATGTTTTATGGCCTCATCAGCTAACTCTTCTTCTTTTCCTCTGAATGTGGATATCCTTCAATTTCTGACTTTAAGTTCCCTCTGATGGTGTTGTTCTAGAGGACTGTTTCCTGACATGCTATAATGGCGTCGCGCTGTCTGCCTCCTCGGCTCAGAACGGGCAACGACTGCCCGTTGCTGACTGGTATCTTCGTCGTTGTTCCGTCGGTCTTCGTCAGCCGTTGTTGTGATGCTCCGCCCCCGGCTGGCAGAGGTCAGTGAGCAGGTTCTGATCGCCGAATTTTCGCATCTGCCTCAGTCTCCCAACAGCCAGCGCGGCCCTTATTAACGCTAGCAATGACCGAACC